TAATCTTCTTATTATATAAAATGATATAAAAAGAAAATGAGAACACACAAGAGTAAAGTAATAAGATAAGAATAAAAATAAAGATTAATTATCATGGACATATTTCTTGTAGAAATAGACAGCAAAATAAATCCAGTTATTTCGTTCGACATTCCTTATATTTAATTTAATATTCAAATTATTAAAATTAACGATTTTGATTCTTAATAAATCTTATTCCATTTTTTTCTTATGGGTTTATTCTCTTTATATACTCCATATAGAATATATATATATATTCATATCTATTTATTTAGCTCTACATAGTAGAATTAAAAAAATAGACTTAGTATAAGTCTATATGAATTCTAGTGATTATAGACTTTCTTTATTCCAATATAAGAAGAATCCAAATATTAATCTAACAATCAACAAAAAAGAACAGGTACAAATATGAAATTGAGGTACCCCATTTTATGATAAACTTACCATCCCTTTTTGTTCCTTTAGTAGGCCTAGTATTTCCGGCAGTTGCAATGGTTTCTTTATTTCTTCATGTTCAAAAAAACAATATTTTTTAGATACCACAAGTTTCATATATTTTTGAAAATAGGGTTAAATTTTTTAGTTTGGATTTGTTCTTTTGTTCCATTTTTGAATAACTATTGCCTTCAATAAAAAAAAAAGAAAAGTACTAATATTATATAAGCCTTAATAAGATAAGGAGGTTTTCATATAACAACATAAATATTAATCTAACAATCAAGAAAAAAGAACAGGTACAAATATGAAATTGAGGCACCCATTTTATGATAAACGTTTATGTGTTTTTAGTGGGCCTTGTATTAATTGTAATGTCTGCTTTATTGGTTCATGTTCCAAAATTCATTAGTTGGGGGTCAGAAAAACTTGGTTGTCGTTCACAAGACGCATGGCTTGACATTGTACCGGGGTCCCGAAAAATTATCAATTTATTCTGGGCGTCTTTCACTCTTTTAGGTTCATTAGGAGTTTTATATATTTCAGTTTCCAGTTATTATGGGAGGGATTTTTTCTCTTTCATTTCGTCCGAATTTGTCATTCCTTTTTTGACACAAGGAGTCACGCTGACTTTCTATGGAATTGCCGGTCTCTTTCTAAGTTTACATTGGTGGCTTCTAATTTTTTGGAATGTGGGGAGTGGCTATAATTTTTTCGATAAAAAAAATCGAATGGTATGTTTTTTTCGTTACGGATTTCCTGGAACATATCGTCGTATTTTTCTCCGAGTTCGTATGGAAGATATTCAGTCCCTCATACTACAAGCTAACCCAGAACCTAGTAGTGGTGTCCTTTATATGCAAACCAGAGAACAGGGGACCATTCCCTTGACTCCTGTTGATGATAGGACTCCATGCAACGTTATACAAAAAGCTTGGGACTTGTCCAGATTCTTGAGTGTACCAATGGAAATCGTTCCATATTCTTGAGTATACCAATGGAAATCGCTGTATCCAAACAATTTCATTTTTAATTCATAGCTTTTGAAACACTTTTTTTCTTCTTCATTCAAATTGGCAATGGCTTATTTCGTTTTCTTATTTGATTTCTGTATTCTTTTGGATTCTTTTTTCAAATTGAAGGAAAAAGAAACTAACCTCCGAATTACAAATAAAAAGAATAGCTTCTCAATTTCTATGAAAAAATTATAAATTGATATATTCTAGGCTAAGCTCTATTACTTGTATTTACTTGTAATAGAACTTATGCTTGATAGAAAGATTATTATTATATATAGTTGAAAAATGAGATGAAACTGAGTTCATTAAAGACGAAAAATGGCAAAAAAGAAAGCATGCATTCCCCTTCTATGTCTTACATCTATAGTCTTTTTGCCCTGGTGCATCTCTTTTACATTTCAGAAAAGTCTGGAATCTTGGATTACTAATTGGTGGAATATGAAAGAATCCGAAATTGTCTTGAATACTATTCAAGAAAAAAGTATTTTAAAGAAATTGCTAGAGTTCGAGGAACTGTTCCTCTTGGATGAAATGCTAAAGGAATACCCGGAAACACGTTTACAAAACCTTCGTATCGAAATCTACAAAGAGACCATCCAATTGATCGAGACGAACAACCTAGATCGTATCCATACGATTTTCCATTTCTGTACAAATATAATCTGTTTCCTTATTCTAAGTGGTTATTCTATTCGAGGTAATCAAGAACTCATTATTCTTAACTCTTGGGTTCAAGAATTTCTATATAACTTAAGTGACACAATAAAAGCTTTTTCTATTCTTTTATTAACTGATTTTTGTATAGGATTCCATTCGACTCAGGGTTGGGAACTAATGATTGGGTCTGTCTATAAAGATTTTGGATTTACTCCGAATGATCAGATTCTATCTTGTCTTGTTTCGATTTTTCCAGTCATTTTAGATACTATTTTTAAATATTCTATTTTCCGTTATTTAAATCGTGTATCTCCGTCGCTTGTAGTCATTTATCATTCAATGAAGGAATGAAAAAACGACCCACTGATCCAATTCTAAAATTTGTTTTTTGTATAGAAAAGCTAAACATTTAAAATTGAACTTATTCGTTTTCGTTTTACTCGTATTCTTCCTATATTATAGGAAAAGAATTGGAGTAAATAGCAGAATCATGGATAGGGAACTGTGCCAGTAACCTACCTAATCTTATTGTAGAAATTTTCAGGATCAATGATTGGACCATGCAAACTAGAAATGCTTTTTCTTGGATAAAGAAAGAGATTACCCGATCCATTTCCGTATTGCTCATGATATATATAATAACTCGAGCACCCATTTCAAATGCATATCCTATTTTTGCCCAACAAGGTTATGAAAATCCTCGAGAAGCTACCGGCCGGATTGTATGTGCTAATTGCCATTTAGCTAATAAGCCCGTAGATATTGAGGTTCCACAAGCGATACTTCCCGATACAGTATTTGAAGCAGTTGTTCGAATTCCTTATGATATGCAAGTGAAACAAGTTCTTGCTAATGGTAAAAAGGGGGCTTTGAATGTGGGAGCTGTTCTTATTTTACCAGAGGGTTTTGAATTGGCCCCTCCTGATCGTCTTTCGCCCGAGATTAAAGAAAAGATAGGTAATTTGTCTTTTCAAAGCTATCGTCCCACAAAAAAAAATATTCTTGTGATAGGCCCCGTTCCTGGAAAAAAATATAGTGAAATTACCTTTCCTATTCTTTCTCCAGATCCCGCTACTAAGAGAGATGTTTACTTCTTAAAATATCCTATATACGTAGGCGGGAACAGGGGAAGGGGTCAGATTTATCCCGACGGAAGCAAGAGTAATAATAATGTTTATAATGCTACAGCAACGGGTGTAGTAAACAAAATAATACGAAAAGAAAAAGGTGGATACGAAATAACGATAGTAGATGCATCAGATGGACGTGAAGTGATTGATATTATACCGCCAGGACCAGAACTTCTTGTTTCAGAGGGTGAATCTATCAAACTTGATCAACCATTAACGAGTAATCCTAATGTGGGTGGATTTGGTCAGGGGGATGCAGAAATAGTGCTTCAAGATCCGTTACGTGTCCAAGGTCTCTTGCTCTTCTTGGCATCTATTATTTTGGCACAAATTTTTTTGGTTCTTAAAAAGAAACAATTTGAGAAGGTGCAATTGTCTGAAATGAATTTTTAGGAATGTCAATTTATCAACATATTAAGCTGGTAAAAAGAACTCCATTTTTGTTGATAAATTCTGTGTAAAGACCTTTGGTTCTTGGTTTTTTTTCAACTGCACAATTAATTCGAACCATATGATTATGTCGCTGATTATGTCGCTGTTTTCACATTTTCATGTCCTAGAATAGAAATATTAGAATTTATATTGTAATAGAATGAAATTCGACTCGATACTAAACCTAAAAAAATAGGTAGGTAAACCTAAAAAAATAGGTAGGTAGATAATATTAAGTAAAGTAGAAAAAGGGAAAACAGGATTCTAGGATGGATAATTTGTCTTTTCCTAGAGTCCAATTCCTTCTTGTTTATGTCGAAATCGATACGTAGTTAAGGAATGGACAAACAAAAAAGACCGGGAATTGAATTCAGCAAATACAACTTTCTTAATTCACTTCAAAAAAAGAATTTAATCATGAGTCTATATTAGAAATAGATTTCTAGTAAGATTCTGTTAGTATCAAAAAGGTTTGGTTCTACAGAATCTTTTTTATGTTTAATAGAGTATTAAATATAGTATATAGTTCCCTATTCTTACAGGGAAGATCCTAAAAAAAGGAAATGGAATTTTTTGAAACATACAATAAAGTTATCTATTGACTCACTGACAAAAATATTCTGATTATGAAGAACTCAACGGGACCCCTTCGAATTCATCAAAGAAAGAGTGGATCCCCGTTGAGTTCTTATGCTTTCATTTCGAAAACTAAATTTATCCGATTATTACAGGGATGATCCCAATCCGGAATATGAACCATAAAAGAAAATACCAATTAAACCGATCACAACAATACCAGCTACAGTACCTATTATCCAAAGAGGAATTCTTCCAGTAGTATCGGCCATTTATCCCACTTTCCTCCACATTTGATCAAGTAGTCAGTCATACTAGAGACCTAAACAGTCATAGATAATTATGAAATGATATCCTTCCGAATGGGATAAGAGAATTCCTAATATATAAATACTATTCTCTTTTCTTCAATTAATTGAAAAAATAATTTGAAAATAAAACAGCAAGTACAAAAATGAGTAATAAACCCCAGTATAGACTGGTACGATTCAATTCAACATTTTGTTCATTTGGGTTTGATTGTGTCGTAGCTCTATAATTCGGATTAGGTTTATCGTTGGATGAACTGCATTGCTGATATTGATCCCAAAAAAGAAACGGTAGGTACCGCTAGTCCGTGAACAGCCAACCATCGTACTGTAAAAATGGGATAGGTCCTATCTATGGTCATTGGAGCCTCCTAAAAAGATCTACTAAATTCATCGAGTTGTTCCAAAGAATCAAAACGGCCGGTTATTAAAGGAATTCCTTGTCGGCTTTCTGTAAAATACTCGTTTGGACGGGGGCTTCCAAATACATCGTAAGCTAAACCCGTGCTGACAAATAACCAACCCGCAATGAATAGGGAGGGTATAGTAATGCTATGAATAATCCAGTATCGAATACTGGTAATAATATCAGCAAAAGATCGTTCTCCTGTGCTTCCAGACATGCCGAGCTCCACATATTCTTATACAGTCAAAGGGGGATCGATTCCATAAAAGATCAGATCAGTAAGTAGAAATTTACTGAAATTTTCAATCTTTGTTACGATCGTCAATCGTGTACCAAGGGTCTCGTTCCAGTATACCAAATCAGTATAGCTATCCTTCTTCTAACACAGCAACGAAATTTCACAATAAGTGACGAGATCGAGTACTACAAAAGAAAATTTCTTTTTTTCCTGGTTGTTTGTTTCGATGTACTGAATCGAAAATTCCTCAAAGTTTAAGACTATATATATGGACTTTATATTATTTATATTATATATATACGTTATATTATATATAATTATATAAATAAATAAAACAATTTTCCTTCGATTAGTTTACTCAACTCATGTCATGAGTTGATCAAGAAATCTGTTGATTTGGAATCACAGGTTGGGTAGATGTCACAGATGATGAATTGATTTTTTACCTATGTAACTATATTTTTCTTTTTGTTTGTCCGTAATAATTGATTCATGAATCAATTCTTTTCCATTGTATCTTTCAAGTGGTCTTTTTTGCTTCTTTTCCTATTTTTATCTAAAAAAAAAAAAATGGAAACTTAGGAAAGTGCTTTATAAACATACATCTAGTTTCCTTATGTCCACTCTAACCAGTTATTTCGGTTTTCTACTAGCGGTTTTAACTATAACCGCAGGTATTTTTATCAGTCTGAATAAGATACGACTTATTTGATTTGCAATTTTGAGAGAAATTTGGAAATTGTAGATATTCTATAGTTCCTTATCATATTTCCAATTCTTGGTCATTGAGATTCATGGTCAATATAAATTCATATTTAAGGATCGATATTACCCCCACCTTTTTTACTTTCAACCAAACTCAAATGATTGAAGTTTTTCTATTTGGAATCGTGTTAGGTCTAATTCCTATTACTTTGGCTGGATTATTTGTAACGGCCTATTTACAATACCGACGTGGCGATCAGTTGGATATTTGATTTAGTACTGTCTCTTTTGTTTATTGACTTCCTATTTTTTTGTTTGAATCCTAATTCACAGGAGATCAAATTAACACTTTTGATTAGACTTAGACTGTTATCCCATTATTTTAGTCTCATTCTCAGAAGAATGGTATCACGCTCTGTAGGATTTGAACCTACGACATCGGGTTTTGGAGACCCGCGTTCTACCGAACTGAACTAAGAGCGCTTTCTTTTCCTAAATAATTTGATGTGATGGCAATATATCTTGCATGCATGCATACAAACTAAATATGGAGAACTATTCATATTGAGTATGTATGTACAATTTCAATTGCTCAAAATTGATCTCTTGTTACTGCTGATATGATATTAGGGATAGGGATGACAGGATTTGAACCTGTGACATTTTGTACCCAAAACAAACGCGCTACCACGCTGCGCTACATCCCTTTACATCAGTTTCCATTGTCATTCTAAAGAATTTTTGTCTTATTTTCCACATTTTTCCATTATCTATATCCTGCCATTTTGTTTGTTTTTTTACTTTCTTATATCGATCGTAGAAATAAGATATCGAATCAAATATTCTTATAGAATATTTATATTCAATTAATGAAAAACAGAGAATATATAGAATCTATAAATAATAAGATAGAAAAAGTATAATAACAAGAACAAAGAATATACAAATAATATAGAAAATAGAATTGATATATGAAAAATAGAATAATTTCAAATATTATTTTAATATTTCATAGAATTCATAATTTCAAAAAATATATAATAATATAGTTATTAGAAGATAACAATTTGAATAAATA